ATATTTTGTTAAGTTCTGAAGCATCCCATTTATTTGGTGCTATTATAAATGACACTTTCCAAAATTTCAAGTTACAATTGTTTATTGCTGGTATCTAGACATGTAATTGACTTTCTATGCAATTTTGTGCCCTGAGGCTCTGTTAACAGATTTGCTTTTCTAGAGGTGTTTTTTTTGGGGGGTGGAGTCTTAGCAATTTCTCAAGTAAAAAGTCATCATGAGGTCTCCTTATCTGGTATGATGTGCTACAGGTAGACATCTCAATGACAGTAATTTTGCCACTTGTGTGGCATATCTACAGTACAAATAATTTCTTATGATCATCAAAAGATGTGTAAAAGAGTGTAACTAATAGTTTTCATTATTAGTTTGCTGCCACAGGGTGAGTAACTTTCCTCATCATGTCCTCTCCATCATGATGTCCCCACCTTGCAACAAGTCTAAGATTAATGGTGCCAGATGATCATGGACTGAAACCTATGAAACCATGAGCCCAAATAAACCTTTCTTCCTTTATCTCAGGTACTTGCCACAGTGACAGAGAGCTGGTATACTGGTCATTGGATTGGTTCTTCTGTAAGCTGTCTTCTGTGTTCTGCAACAACTATTGTCTAATGTATTGCTTTGTGCAATTTTGCAAAAGTTCTCCACATCTACTAAATATTAACACCTACCTCTTTGCCTGTTTCCAATACTTCTTCCAAATTTGCATGTCTCCTGGCTTCATTTATGGCTTCTTGGAAGAAAATGTAGCTCTTAACACCAGATCAGGACCTCCCTGTTTGCCTGAGTGACCTGGGGCAAATCACTGTGTCTGATGAGAACATGGGAATCTCGAGGTTCAGGAACTAGAAAGTCGAGTATGAATACACAGAGTACCTGTGGTACACAAACTCGCTCATTAATAGCTGATTTTCTTATATTACTTTGGCTGCCACACGCAGGGTGCTAGTTTTAGTGTCATCCGTGTTAACTCACTGACTCCCTCTGGTGGCCCCACAAGGAAGGTGCTGATACCCCACTTTACAGGGTCAGGCTCACCCAGGGACAGCTGATGCGCGTATAGAGCTTGACAGACCCTATGAACCCATCTGTGTCTGTCCTCTACCACCCCAACACACACCCACACATGAGGCCAGTCAGCACATCATGGATGTACACAAGTTTCTTGACCCCTTTGGAGTGGCATGGCAGGCTGACCCATCGTCAAGGCCATGTTTGCGCACTCTCCAATTCAAAGGTGCTTCTATGCAGATGTTTTATGTTCCCCAAAATTCATGTTGAAACCTAACCTCCAAAGAGGATGGAACTGGGAGGCAGAACCTCTGGATAGTGATTAGGTCAGCAGGACAGAGCATTCACAAATGGGATTATGGCCTCCAAGAGACCTCGGGGCTGCTCAGCCTTTCCAACACATGAGGATATAGTGAAAGCACCATCTGTGGACTGGAAAATGGGCACTCACCAGACCCTGGCTCTACTGCTACTTTGATTCTGAACTTCCAGCCTCCAGAACCATGTCTATAGTTTGTAAGTTAACTGTTTTGTGAGACTGTTATAGCAGCCCAAACAGCCTAAGACAAAAGGCTGTCTGGGCTCCAAGAAAGAGTGTAGGTCAATGAGACTGGTATTAGGGCCCTGATTTCTTGGGGTCCCATGACGAGGGATTGGCCCTGAGGGACCATGAGTCTTCAAGCACTGAAGATTCTCGTCCAACTTTCCAACAGTCCATGTGGACTCTGCAATGCACCTCTCTGCCCTGATGCATGGTTATCGGTTGTCCTCAGCCTGGTTTCCCTTCCACTCATCTTGTCCATGGCCTGAGTGGCCATAGTGATGTGCTAGTTCAGCTCTGGGACCCTCACTGACCACAGGGTCTGTCCCTCCACCATGGCCTGTGGTCCAGGACTCACCCAGGCTAATGAGCTGCATCAGTGTAAGGGGTGAGCAGCAGGGAGGGATCCTGTGTGGTCTGCTGTGCACAGCAAAAAAACAAGGAATCTCTTAAGTGCTGCTAAGTGCCCCAGATTAGAAACAGATCAAGCCCAGAGCTGCTCAATCCCACTCCAGTCAATGTGGCTGAACTTGCTCAGCTGTAGTAAGGTCTTACCTGTCCCTGGGTCTCTAGGTAAGAAATCTCCAGATGTGGCTTTAAACAAACAAATTCAGGCTTTTAAGCACCATGCCCTGTCCATTCCCCATGCTCACCAATGGGTGATTCATGACAGCCTGGTGGTCACTGTGCCCCAGCCAGCCCTGTGGCAAGGCATTCTGGAAACTAAACCACCACAAGGTATAGTGCTAAGCCACTGCTCAGTACCTCTCTGGGCTGGTTTTTTCTTCTCCAGAAGGACCAACAACTTCAGTATTTTGAAGTTGCCATGCACATCAGACATGCTATTATTTATTTATATTTAACAGACACTTGCTGAGCACCTCCTATGTGCTGGACACTCTGCTTGATGCTGGGGACAAAGGGAATAGGTTGTCCCCAGAATGCAATTGACTGTTTCTGGACTTGCTTGCTGCTCCCCCTTGAAGTGATGTCCATCTGATGGCAGAACACTGATATTCCTCCTCTAAAACTACCCAGTAATCATTAAAAGACATTAAAATTATACTTATCAGTAGCATTTTGTAACTCACTGGAAGAAACCATTATTCCTACAAACTTCACAGTACAACTGCAAAATCTCAATACTGTTCTAGAGCCTGTGAGAGCTGACCCGGGGCTGATGCTAGAAAGATGTGTGGCTCATCTTGTCTCACGGCATGAGCCCACTCCCTGGAGATGGATGAGGATGAAATCTGCAAGGTGTCCAGCTGCCTGCACTCTGGGCTGAGAGCTGTATCAAGAGGCTTCTCAGGTCTTCACAGCCAAAGGATAGGCCCAGCTCCTCAGTGCCCAGCTCCTCAGTGCCCAGCTTTGGCCTCTTAAAGAACAAAAGGGCTTTTTATTTGAGCACACTTTTCTTGGCACTTTCTCCAGCTGGCTCCAAGGAGTAATCACAGCAGTAGAAATTCTAACAAATGTTCCTTTTGTAAATATATGGCTTATTTTGGAAATGCCACTGACCCAGCTTCTCTGTCCAACAACTCAGAAGCTTGTCTCTTCTCTCTCGTGGTCTCCCCACACCCAGGAAAGGCTGCAAGTGGCCCTCTACACAGATGGGGCAAAGAAGGGCGTTTCCACCTACCACAGAAGGAGCAAATGGCCAACAGCAGGAAATGAAGGTTTTCTTCAAGTCCTTGTCCAAACACAGCTGGAACACCAAAATGTTTATTCTCCAGTTACCTCCCCAAATGTCAAGTCTCAAGAGCCAGACCCATATCATTCACATGGCTAGCATGACATAGCTGAGAGGGCTGGCTTCCATTAGTGTACTCACTTCTAAGAGTTAGCTTAACATGGCCCCTCAAAACATTTAATGTTAGCCGAAACTATTCTCCAAATAAATCATTCCTGCCATTGTGTGGAGGTCACCCTCTGCTCCCCTGCCCCCCACAGGTCCTTCCACTTAGAGGATGGTTGGAAGCTGCCAATGGCAAGCAGAATCACAGCTGTTGTTGAATGGCCAGAGGGTGGGACCTGACAGAAGACCACCAATCAGAGGCCTTCCCCAAGTACTCTCCATAGAAGGCAGCCCCCTGAAAGGAAGGTGTGACACTGGGGAAAGCATGCATCAGCAGACAGGACATCCAATCAACAATACTTTCACCAAGTCCTGACCCTTCTTGATAGTACAACTATGAGGAAGGAAAAAGGTGGAAATTCTTGGCCTCACGGTTTTCAGGAAGCTGCAAGGATTGCATGAAGGCAAGGGGAGGCATCATAGAGCTAGACATGCATAGGACACACAAATACAGGTGTGCACACCATCTCTCTTGAAGCTGCTTGGACTGGACAAGTTCAAACTCCTCAGGCCAAAGGCTCCTAGCCTTAGTCTAGACATGCCAGGTCCTTACCAAGCCAATGCCATTGAGTTGTTGCACAGCAGCACTTCCTTGCTTCACTTTAGAATGTTATTTCTTCCTGCTGACAACCAGAAAGTCAAGAACCAAAATTCATCTCAGAGACCAAACTCCTTCCTTAGCCATGAGGAAACCTGGGCAGGCCCTGGGCTAAGAAACAATCTTCACTGTGTGTATATATATATATATATAT